ACATGTTAATATAGGAAATCAATGGGCTGACTTATTTACAAAAGGCTTGAGTCAGGGAAGAGTGGACTACATATGTAACAAGCTGGGAGTATATGATATATACTCACCAGCTTGAGGGGGAGTGTTAGCGTAGGGGTATTTATGTCATTATACCTAGATTAATGTTGTTGATCTGTAATGTTGTGTTGGAACCAGTGCTCCAAACTTAAATAAGGGCACATGTGTCTTTTCAATCAGTTTTAATAATATAAGTTTTGTCTGGCCGACTGGGAGAAGGTAATGTTGAGACTTCCAGTTCGAACGAGAATTTTCCCTTATCTCTTTCTCTCTTTCTTCCACCTTTCTACCTCTTTCTACCTAACCGATCTCAGATAGATAGAATTCTAGGGCAGGCCGAATCATAACACTTTTCTTATGAAAATTATGGATAATTATTAAGGAAATATAGTTATGGAACCCAGGGAACTACCCTAGGATATATTTTTACATATAAAAATCCATCGCCTAGGTGGACACCTAGGCAACTAGGCGAAAAGGCACCCCTTGTTGCCTAGCCTCACCTTGGTGCCTTAAAAACTATGATGGAAGCCTAATCAAAGTTATACCAATTAGAGAAATAAAATCTACAAATCTTAAGAAGACCTAAGGAGAAGTTAGATATTACCCAGAAATAAATGAAAAAGAAGTTCATCAGCAACATAGATTTACATGCCATGGCTCCAGATGTTCTACATGAATGAGAAGATTATAAGTAACAGCAGTCTACATGTTCTACATGATGATGAGTTTAATCAGTCAGCATTGTGTTGTGGATGCTTTTACAGTCGCTAACATCAGCAGTGATGGACAGCAGCAGTAATGGGCGATTAACTAAGTGTTCTCATCTTATCTAATTCAGTGTTCTCATCTTAGTGTTCTCATCTTCAGTGTACTCATCTTATCTAGCTAGATACAGTTCTATTTTATCTAGTAGGGAGTCTTATCTGTTCAGTGTTCTTATCTAAATTCAGTAGTATAGATCAGTAGGAAGTCCTCCTAAAAGTGGGATTCTTATCTTCTTGTAATCTCCTATTTAAAGGAGCTAATGATATTCAATAGAGGCATCGAAATTCTCAGTCAAGACAGAGTAGAGGAGAGTTGGTAATCTCTTGAACAAATCACCATTAAGGCGCCAAGATAGGTTCCTCAAGAAAAGGGAGGAACAAGGGAAAACAGGAGGTTTTCCCCGTGGACCGACCCGTGACAAGATCCTATTTGCGGGCCCTTAACAATTTGGTATCAGAGCAAGGCGTCATGGGTGACCTTGAGCAGTTGTCGACTAGGGTTCATGAACTAGAGCACAAGCTCGTGGAAAACAGCACAGAGGTGCGCGAGATCAAGGAAGACATCCGAGAATTAAGGCGCATGATGGAGCTCTATTTTTCTAGCAAGGAGAGGAATCCAAAAGGGGTTGCAACCACAAACGGCTGCCGTCCAGACACGGCAGAATCGTCCGGCGAGCGGTAGGTCGTCGCCCAGGGAGCTGCGATCGTTCCCAAATACAGCAAGCTGGAGTTCCCTTCCTATAACGGCGCGGGAGATCTGTTGGGATGGCTGTACAGATGTGAGCAGTTCTTCCGCAACCAACGGACAGAGGACAGAGACAAGGTAAGCTTAGCCGCATTCCACATGACGGAGGAGGCGCAGCTCTGGTTTTATAGATTAGAGCAGGAGGAACCCGGGCTCAGTTAGACCCAATTAAAATCCTACTGCCTTCTCAGATTTGGGCCCCCATTAACAAGCAACCCATTAGGCGAACTAATCAACCTCAAACAGACGGGAACGGTGGCTGAATATCAACATCAGTTTAAGACCCTCCTTGCAAGAGCATCATCGGTACGACCAGACCAGCAGGTCGACATGTTCACTGCGGGGTTAGCAGAAACTTTGAGGGTGGATGTTGAGATGCAAAATCCACCCAATCTGGTTACTACTATGAATTTGGCTCGCGCTTTTGAATGCAAGCTGCAACTCAACCGCGGAAGTATTAGTATGGGGAGGCCTCAAACAGCATGGGCACCCCCAAAACCACTCGGCATGGCCCCATCTTCTGCAGCCAGCCGGGAACAGAAACCACAGCCAAGCCACGATTCCAGATCGGCATCCAGTTTGGGAAGCAACGTGGTGGCACCCCTTGTTAAGCACTTGTCTAGGGCTGAGATGGCGGAACGCAGGGCGAGGGGACAGTGTTTTAATTGTGATGAACTTTACTCAGCAGGGCACAAGTGCAAGAGACTTTTCTGCCTCTTGGTGGAACAAGAGGAAGATGAGGATGAACCCTCTTCATTGGAACCCGATCCAGGAGGGCAAAAACATTCCACCTATCCTAGATTCCTTTGACTGTGTTTCAAGACACCTATCCCGAATTCGAGCTTGAGGACAAGCTCTTAGTCYAGGAGGGGAGTAATGTTGTGGATGCTTTTACAGCCGCTAACAGCAACAGTGATGGACAGCAACAATAATGGGCGATTAACTCAGTGTTCTCATCTTATCTAATTCAGTTTTCTCATCTTAGTGTTCTCATCTTCAGTGTACTCATCTTATCTAGCTAGATACAGTTTTATCTTATCTAGTAGGGAGTCTTATCTTATCTAGTAGGGAGTCTTATCTGTTCAGTGTTCTTATCTAAATTCAGTAGTATAGATCAGTAGGGAGTCCTCCTAAAAGTGGGATTCTTATCTTCTTGTAATCTCCTATTTAAAGGAGCTAATGATATTCAATAGAGGCATCGAAATTCTCAGTCAAGACAGAGTAGAGGAGAGTTGGTGATCTCTTGAACAAATCACCATTAAGGCGCCAAGATAGGTTCCTCAAGAAAAAGGAGGAACAAGGGAAAACATGAGGTTTTCCCCGTGGACCGACCCGTGACGAGATCCTATTCACGGGCCCTTAACACATTGATGGCACATTATCTTAGACACCTATTGGCAAGGGGACTACCTAATGTTCACATTAAATTTCTTGAAATAACAATTTCAAGTGGAAACAAGAGAATTCGATTAAAAAGACCATTAAATAAGCTGAGCTTCCAATGCTTAAGAAGCAAAATAAAGAATGGAAGAGAACAACTTACCCAATGCACCACCATCTTTTCCAAGAACAACACCTATGCGAATGAGTGCCAATCTTACATCCTTGTTTACTTTTAGTGCCCTTGCTTCCCATTCTCTACAAACCTGAAAGAAAATATGTATTGGTGCAAGATGGGAAAACAATTAAGGCCTATTTGGCATCCTTACCAAGACAATTTTCAACAGGTTATACGTGATATCATGGAACAAATCTATAAATGCTACAGATTAAACAAAACCAAAGAAATAATGCCAAGTTTTTCTAAATACTTCTCTGAGAGAGAGAGAGAGAGAGAGATGAAATAGTGATTTCTACCTCAGCCAAGTAATCATTTCCTGATGGACTTTGTTCATCAAATACATTGGTTTCACTAGTGCCTGGAAGTGTGCCAACAACCAAAAAAAAATTAAGAATACCAACAAATATCACCTTATAGAAAAATGCACCGATGTAAAGAAATAATTTCACATCCACAATAAGCATTGTAATATATGGAATTAATGTTAATCCCTATGCTCCAAATACATCATTATGTACATAGCCTCTGCATTTTGTTGAGACAGATCTTTTTCTTTTTAATTTTGTGTTTGGGTATAGTGTCATCAAAAAGAACCTTGGTTGCTTTTTCTTTTTTGGAAATGTAAGTGTCAGTTGTCAGAATTTATAATTCCAAAGGCAGAATTCACTCCAAGGTCTAGGTTTGAAACCTCTTCAAACTTGACAAACAAATCTAATTGCCACCTCCTAGATTATTAAGTTAATGTTTCAGAGTAGCAATTACTGAGTTTTAACCTCTCCTGGATACATTGGTAAGTAAATAAAACATGCAAAAATATGTATTTACATTTCAATAATATAACATTTTGGATCAGTGTCATAATGTTTAGCTTAAACATGAGTTTCCTAAATTGCAATTGATAGATGGAATCACTTACCAACACCTTCATCAAGAAAAGTTTTCTCCAGGTTCTATGGCCAGAAGATGATAATTAGCATGTAGTGGCATTTCTGTTTCTATGACATGTAATGACCTTCTATCATTTTATTGTTCCTAATGCCATGCTTTTATTTAGCCTCTTTAATTTCCATATTCCCCTCTTTTTTTATGATTCTTCCCATATGTGATACTTTTCACATGTGTGCCACTTTGAGAAAAGGCAATAACATTCAAGCAAGAGATAGATGCATGACAGATATGCGAATGTGCTAAATAGGAAGTGGATTGATAGTAAGTAACAACCATTCAAAGGTCAAATAGAATAAGAGAGGAACAGTAGACTATTGCGTTAAAGGACAAACCATAATAACCAACAGCTGTTGCACTGACCAAAACTGAAGGCCTAACATCATCTTGGGTGTTATTTATTATATCTACAACCTTCAAAAAGAGTTATAATGGTTAGTGAAAAACCAACTACAAATCTTCATTTGTAAGCTTTTCTAATAGATCACCCTTGAAGAATAGAGGGTTAAGTAAAAAATCAATGGTGACCTTTGAGGTGACACTTATTCTGCTGTCCTTGATCTCTTGCTTGATCTGCATAACAATCAGACATTTATATAATAATAAAAATACTTTTATGACATCAATTTCATGTATGTCACCAATGGAAAGAAAAAAAAGTAACATATAAGCATGTCTATGTACTCTTAATACCAAGAAAATATGGTGCACAAAGGGTTAAATGATACTGAAGGAATTCAATTGGGAGACCAAAATGCATTTATGAGCACACACCATGCTTTATCTCCATTAGAGTTTGTTGGAGAAATTCTATTTGGTAAATAGGATGCTAGAAAATATAAACAAATTTGGAAACTGCATAAGCACAGCCCCCATAGTTCTATAGCCTGAGTGCCTGCATACAACATGGGGATTTTAGTGGTTTCCCTTTGTTTGATCACCCCCCACCACAAAAATAAAGGGCCGGGGGGAGGGAGAGGGAGGAAGCTTATGTATGGGCATATATTTTAGATCTTCAGGAAAAGCTTGGGTCTTAGCTTCAACATTAGTTTGGAAAAATAAAATCAATAACATAATATAAAATATTTTCTATTTACACTATAATGCTAGTAAAAATTGCAAATAAGAGATTTTATATTTTATGCACATAAAAGAAATGAAAAAGAAAGATAGTTGTTGTGGGATATGCAGGAAAATTGCTGTCTTCACCGGGCACCCATCCCAAAAAAACGTGTCAATATTTCAGAATAAATTCTTGGGAACTTTCTCTAAGCTTCCAAGAGAAGAACCATCATCAACATGAGATCTCGTGGAAATTGGAAAATAGCCATTTCCTCTAGATGAAAAAAAAAATCTTCGCATATGCTTTAAGATGGAATAGGTTCTCAAAAAGAATTTGAAGCGTAACTAGAATATGAATGTTTAAGAATTTTAGTACAAGGGCATGCTGCCAAATAACACTGGGATTCATGCATATGTAGCAAATGTCAGAATTCATGGACTTTACTGAACACGGGATCCTTCAAATGGCATTTCTACTCCATTTGTTGAATGAAAAAATTCTTTACATGTCAGTGAGTGTAGTTTTATTTCATATTCTTCATTTCTCAGTCTATTCACGAACTAAAAAAGTGTACTATAAAACCACTTCTTGGGACCGATCTCTCCATCTTAAATGATTTCTAGAATCTTCAGACTTTTTTAGTTCAATCTAGAAATATCTGGATGTTGATTCTTGCAGTGAATTACCAACAAAGATTCTTTCAGTGAAAGTAGCACCTTCAAGTAGTTCAAAAGAAGTCATCATAGATCATATTAGTCATGGACTCAAGGTAGTCAGGAGCTACAGAATAACAGCTATTGATAGACAAAAAGATCATATTATTCAGGAAGCATTCAAGAATTTTGGATACTGCCTACAACATTTTGCATTATCTGAAGCATTATTTGGTGTCAACAAATTTTTCTTATTAGTTGTTATGCTTCATTCAAAAGGAAAGGTGTAGAACAAGAACATTTTGCAATATCTGCTACCAACCTCAAATGACCATCTTGTACTTATGGGCATTCCAGCCAAATTCACAACAGCATTTGATCCTTGAATGCAATCTTTCCACTCAGGTTCCTCTGCAATTAAAATTCCCGGGAATTCCTTGGCTACACATATCAGGAAGCACAAATAGGATGTCAACTGAACATAATAATGCCAAATTGTAGATAAATGCGAAATATATAGCAGCTTGGCCTGTCCTAGAAACAGATCCACATAACAACTCTTTAAATAAGAATAAAAACACACAAATGTCTTTTACAGTTCATTGGCAAGATTTTTTTTTTCTTTTTGATAAGTAATTTCATTAGAAAATCAGAATATACATCAATACAAGCAACCCAGGGAGAGGTGCGAGATTCCCCTCATCCTAAAAAGTACATATTACATTTAAGCCCAAAATAATTGATCCCTATAAACCCCTTGTTTAGCTAGAAGGTCAGCCAGTCCATTATCCAATCTCCTCTCCCAAAATACATTCACTGTTGTGTTACTGGTAAGCCATTTAACCTTCTCGAGTTAATCCCCATATTCCCAAATAACAGTCTCCAGATTTTGTAGCCATGCCACAGTTCTTGAGTTCATTGGCAAGAAATCCCCACAATTATTACAACGATTCACAGCATGCCAGAGTTACCAAAAAACCATTACCTCTTACCAGGAAAAACTAATTGTGCTTTTGACTTAGACCGCGTCAGAACACAAATACGGTGATTATCTGCATTACAATAGAAGAAACCAATATTTACATTACTGATTTTAGATAAGAAAGGAAACTACACATGCTCAGTGCAGGGAGTCCAGAATAAATGGGATTATAAAAGATGTGTAAGAATTAACAATAATGGAATAAGGATAAACATGTTCCGTTGTGTAATACAGATGGGATGTACCATCTATGAAAAGTATTATGATAAAGCATGTCTATAGTAGGCGATCAAGACTACAATCAGCCTTGAACCCTAAATAAATTTCAGATTAGAAAAAGTAGAAGAAAAGAAGAGAAAGGGAGAAAAGAGAGGAGAAGAATTGGAGAAACAAAGGTTGAAAGAAGGGACAGATTCTCAATGATCTGCCGCCGCCACTCTCTTAGTATTTATAGGTTATGTTCAGTACATAGGGAAAATGACAGATCTGCCCTTAGTACTTACATGACAAATAAAGCAAATAAAAAACTGAAATAACAAACTGACCAACTGACACTACCATGACTGAAACAAATAATTACACATACTGTCCTACGAACACAGTGGGGACCACAGCTGTGGGGCCCACATCAGTGTTCTCTACATCTATCAAATGCTTGTACCATGCCTTTTTAAGAATCTCCTAGATAAGATTTCAACTCTATTTGGTGATTGTGACATGTTGAAGTTCGACCTGCCCTAGAATTCTGTCTTGTTCGTTGACTGTAAAGTAAAGTGAACAGCAAGAAGTAGAAGTAGGAGAGGAAAGAAAAAGAGAGAAAAAAGAGAAGGTCTGGTTCGAATAAGAGAAAAAGTTATCCCTAGATTCGGCTAGACCTATTATTATATTATTAACTTATTGGAAAAGACTTAAGTGCCCTTATTTAAGTAAGAGGCACTCGAACTAACATAATAGTACACATCAACATTCTCAACAAGT